CATGACCGGAGGAGGAACTCTGGGAGTTGAAGTCCACAAGTCTTCAAAGCTGTCAAGTTTGAGGACACTTGCCTTAGGCCAAACTTGCTCTCGAAGGGCAATGTGGCCAGGATCCGTTAGGGACCCGTTGTTCCACAGGCCCCTTTCAGCCTCCAAAGCCCTCTTCTGCCTGGCTTCCCCCATCGGCCTCCCTCGCAGGGCTGTTAGGAAGAAGCACGGCGCCCCTCGGGGCTTCCCAGGGCCGGCAGCGCCACTCACCTGCTTGAAGGTGCTGTTAAGGAAGTAGATGAGGGACAGCCCGAAGACGATGCCCAGGACCCACCGCTTGCGTAACAACCTTCGCCACACCAGCGCTACCAGCTGCACCATCGGGAAAGAGGCGGCGAGGTCCCCGGCGCCGGGGCCAGAAGAAGGCGGGGGATCGGACCCTTCTTCCTTGGCCTCGCGAACCCGGGCTGGGAGCGGGGGGAAGGGCCCCCTCGCCCCATCCCAGGGCAGTCAGCCGCTGGGAGCCCCCCACCCCGCCACCCCCTACCCTACCCCACCCCGGATGGAGAGACCCTTAAGGCAGGAGGACGGGAACGTGGGAGAGGTCGGAGAAAGGGGTCTGCGGTGGCAGTTGCAAGCAGGAAGCCCCCCCCCCCCCCCCCCCCGGCCCAGGAAAGCAGCCCCTCTGAAGCCCCCAGCCTCCGCCTTAGAAAGGGGGACAAGGGGAGAGAGAGAGAGAGAAACGCCGCTGGCAACGGGAGTGAAGGAAGAAGCGCTCCGGTTCAAAGGGGAGAGAGGAGGAGGAGGAAGAGGAGCTGATCCGGTTTAAGGAGGACGAGAGAGGCCGATCCGAACGAAGCAGGGAGAGAGGCCCGAGGAGAAGGGGGAGGGGAGGGCTGGAAGACAGGAGGGGGAGAAGCAACCCTGGGGTCCTCCCCTACCCCTGCCACCCCCGTGCGCCTCTTCTTCCTCGGCCGCCCCTCGCCAAAGGCCAACGCAAACCCGCCGCTCGCTCCGGGTCCAGCAGCAAATGCCCGGGGAGAGGCGGAGTCGGAAGTCACATGCCCGGCTGGCGAAGATTGTGGGGGGGGGGAAGGGGGAGGGAGGGGAAAAAAAACCTGGGGGAGGGTCAGACCGGCCGGCTCTCGGGGAAACCAGGTAAACGGCTTCGTGGGGGCAGCCTCCTCTTACACGACTCGCGGCGCGGAGGGAGGGAAGCGGCTCTTTGTTAAGGCCCCTTTCGATTCTCGGGGGTGGGTGGGCTGGGGGGGGGGGGGAAGGGGGGGCCGAAAGGGAAAGCGCCCGGGGGGGGGGGGGGGGGGGGGGGGGGGAGGCGGGGGGCGGGGCCTGCCCCCCCCCCCCCCACGGGGCGGGGCCCCCCCCCCCGGGCGCCTGCCTGGGGACCCCCCCCCCCCCCCCCCCCCCACTTCCCGGGATGAAATTTTAGGCTAGGCTAAAAGAGAGGTGCCCCTCTGCCTCCACGTCCTCTTTTTCCACACCCCCGAATATTTCCTAGAATTCTTACATCTCCCCCCACCCACCCTGACCCCCCCAACTCCTCTGATGTTGAAGGGTTCCTCACCTGGAGGGACCTGGAGCTTTGGGGGGATGCACACCTGGAGACAAATTTTGGCTGGCCTGCTTTTTTGTTGCTTGGTCCTTCTTGCAAGCTCCTCTCTGAGCTTTGAATCCAGGTGCTGAATAGGCATCTCAAAGGGAGCCAGTCTGGTGATGTGGTTCAGGGGCTGGCCTGGGAACCAGGTGATGGTGAGTTCTAGTTCCACTCTAGCCATGAAAGCCAGCGGGGTGACTGTGGGCCAATCACCAGGAGATGGTGAGTTCTAGTCCCATCTTAACAATGAAAGCTGCCTGGGTGACTTTGGCCCAATCACCAGGTGATGGCGAGTTCTAGTTCCAGTTTAGCCATGAAAGCCAGCGGAGTGACTTGGGGGTCAATCCCCAGGAGATGGTGAGTTCTAGTCCTGCCTTAGCTAGGAAAGCCAGCTGGGTGATTTGGGGTCAATTACCAGGTGATGGTGAGTTCTAGTCCCACCATAGCCATGAAAGCCAGCTGGGCGACTTTGGCCCCTCTCTCTCACCCCAACTCCTATCACAGAATTATTGATGCGGGGAAAATAGGAGGAGGAGGGAATATTATCAGTGTCTGCCACCTTGACTTATAAAATAATAAAGGTAGGATAACATTCTAATTTCTGCCAAATGTGGTGGGAACGTTCGTAGTTTGGGAAGTTGGATTCGTATCTCTTGATTCACGTTGCGGCCCTCTGGCTGCTCTTCGTTGCAGGAGGGGCTCTCTGTGCTATGTCTTTGGGGGCCCATCCCCATCCTTGGAACCCCCCAATCCCCTCTTGCCCCGGGGCTCCTTGATCTCCCACGTTGATGTGGAGTGTGTTGTGCTTCAAAGTGCTAAGAAAGATGCAGCGACGGCACAGCAGCATCACGGATAGCCTTCCACCTGAAAGGTAAGGATGCCATCGCCCGCGCAAGTGAGTTATGCCCCAGAGAGCGCCTGTTGCAGCAGAGAAGACAAGCGTTACGCCGGTTCATCCAATACCAGAACCTGCTGGCTGGGGCATTCTGGGAGTCGGAGTCCACAAGTCTTCAAATTGCCAAGTTTGGAGATGCCTGGATTAAACTATAGCACACGTTAATGTGCCACGGTGGCGCAGTGGTGAGAGTGCAGTACTGCAGGCTGCTTCTGCCTGCCTGCCGGCTGCCTGCAATTTGGCAGTTCAAATCTCACCAGGCTTAAGGTTGACTCAGCCTTCCATCTTTCCGAGGTCGGTAAAATGAAGACCCAGACGGTTGGGGGCAAGAGGCCGACTCTGCAAACCGCTTAGAGAGGGCTGGAAAGCACAATGAAGCGGTATATAAGTCTAAATGCTTCTTGCTGTTGCTATTAAAGTTACAATAATACATCCATTTAAAATAAGAAGCACAGATTGTTTGAATAACAGAATTGGAAGGAACCTGGGAGGTCTTCTAGTCCAACCCTGGACCACTTTTAGAGTAATCTGCAAGACACTCCTCTGAATGCCAACCCACTTGACAAAGATGGCTGTTGAAAAGCGCCTCTGTCAAGCCAAACACAGAATATGTTGGAAGGGACCTTGTAGGTCATCTAAACCAACCCCACCCCCGCCTAAGCAGGAGACCCTTCACCATGGCAGTCCTCTGGAAAGCTTCCAGGGATGAAGCTCCCACAACTTCTAACGTTCAACACCGAGCAGGTAAAATAAGCCTTAAAAAGTTCATCGAAACATAGCACCTGTTTTTTTTTAAAAAAAAGCTTTTGAATTGAATTCTTTATTGTCGTTGTACGTATATACACAGTATACATACAACGAAATTCACATAACATCTAGAGAAAGAAATAGGATTAAAACTAAAAATGACATCGGGCCATTTTGAGTGGATTTTTCTCTCCCCTTGTTGCTAAAAACCCTTGTTGTGTATAGATGTCAGCCTGGCCCCGGAGACCAGCTATAAAAATCCTCAGGTTTAGAAACCTCAAGATGGAAAGTGGTGCCCAGGGAGGGTTTTGCATAGTTGAGATATCTAGAGAGGAGGGCTTGGAACCGCAGAAAGCTTTGGGGAGAAGGCGAGAGTGGGGTGAATTCCCTTAATGCAAGCAGCAGATCTAAACTTAGAAATCTCCAAAGGGCTGACAATCCGGAGAGATTTTGCAACGTTGCTAAAGTCCTTTTTCTCAACGCTTTCCCTGTGGGAGCCTTCCTTTTCTGTCCACTGAATGTTTCTTTTGCATTCAAGGATGGGCCTGTAGAAGTAGTTCTCTCGACTTAAAGTAAAGGTTCCCCTTGCATCTACGTGCTAGTCGTTTCCAGCTCTAGAGGGTGGTGCTCACCTCCGTGACAAAGCCGAAGAGCCAGCGCTGTCCGAAGACGTCTCCGTGGTCATGTGGCCGGCATGACTCAACGTCGAAGGCGCACGGAACGCTGTTCCTTTCCCACCAAAGTGGCCCCTATTTTTCTACTTGCATTTTTTTACATGCTTTCGAACTGCTACGTTGGCAGAAGCTGGGACAAGATATTGGAAGATTGCTATCATGTCCCCCTTGGCTCTTCTTTTTACTAGACTAGGTTTAAAGTCTAAGAAACAGCATAAAAAATTCACCCACGATACATTCTGTTTTTTAAGTGAAGAGATACTGTGTTTCCCTATCTGTTTTTGCAAGACTCTTTCCTCATTTAATTTGGGTTTGAAGCTTTTCCCATCTGCATCCAGGAACTGAATAAAGTATATAGCACAGTGTGTTGTTGTTGTTGTTGTTTTTTAACCAAATTTGGCAACTTTAAGATGGGTAGACTTCAAATCCCAGAATTCCCCTGCCAGGCACTGTGCTTTGTAAAAATCATGCTTTTGGTTTGTGTGTTTCTAGGTCATTCTAAGATGTGATGAAAACCAACAGTGGACTATTTATTTTCTTTTTATCCTGTCGCAATGTTGTAACTCTTGGCGATTGCAAAGCTTTCGTGGAAAACCCCAGAACATAATTAAAGCAACATACCATCCAAATTGCAATAGCAACAGCACTTAGACTTATATACCGCTTCACAGTGCTTTTACAGCCCTCTCTAAGCGGTTTACAGAGTCAGCCTCTTGCCCCCAACAATCTGGGTCCTCCTTTTACCCACCTCGGAAGGACGGAAGGCTGAGTCAACCTTGAGCCTGATGGGATTTGAACTGCCAAATTGCAGGCAGCCGGCAGTCACCAGAAATAGCCTGCAGTACTGCATTCTAACCACTGCGCCACCGAGGCAATCAAATTGAAGAAGGAGGAAAAATGATAAGAGCTGTACAGGTAGTCTTCAACTTATAATAGTTCACTTTAGTGACCATTCAAACTTACAACGGTACAGAAAAAAGTGAGTTACGACCATTTTTCACACTTAACGACCATTGCAGCATCCCCAGGCATGGGTGGGCTTCTACAAGCAAAGTCAACGGGGAAAGCCAGATTCACTTAACAACGGGGTTGCTGACTTATGAACGGCAGTGATTCACTTAACAACGGAGGCAAGAAAGGTGGCAAAACGGGGCCCGAAACTCGCTTAACAATTGTCTTACTTAGCAACAGAAATTTATTGGGCACTGCCCAAATCTGGGGAAGATGGATTCACTTAACAATCGGGTTGTTAATTGGTTCACTTTTTAAAAAAATGTGGCAAGAAAAGAGGGGCAAGACTCTCTTTGCAGATGTCTCACTTAGCGACATACATGTTGGGCTTGGTTGTGGTCGTAAGTTGAGGACGACCTGTGCTCTTTCTCCATCACTCCCCCCCACCCCCTCCTGCCTTCCAGAAACCGAAGCCAAGCCATCAGCTCGGACACCAACGTGGACGAAGGGGGCGTTTTCGAGAGCCTGAAGACGGAAGCCCCCTCCCCTCAGCAGCTCTTCTCGGGGCTGGGGGGAATCCCATCAGGCAGCATCTCAGCCACCCCTTTCCAATCCAGCTTGCTCCTGGGGTCCTCCGCCGGAGGAGGCGAGGTCTTCATCCAGATGCCGGCTGCCCAGGAGGAGGGGCCAAGCCGGGCAGAGGCGGGGCTGTATCACTACCGGCCACCGCATCATCATTACCATCACAGCCACCCGAGAGGCCCCTCCCTTCTCCACATGAGCGGGGCTGACCGCCACGGGCATGCCGAAGAGACCCCCGACGAGCCGCCGGGCACCCCAGCCCCTGCCCTTCCCGAGATGAAGGCGGTCATCTCCTGGTTGCAGGACGGCCTGCCCTTCATCATGATCCTGCTGGCCAAAGTTTGTTTCCAGCACAAACTGGGTAAGGGGCTTAGTGGGAGAAGAGAGAGCGGGGGGGGGGTCTTTCCCAGACGTTGTTTGCATGCATGTGTGCATCTTCTTTTCCTTTTAAATCAAACTTTTCTGACGCAGCTCCTCAAACACGACAGACCCTCGGAAGTTAAATCAATGGTTCCTTTATTAGGAGCAGCCCCGGCAAAAAAAAATTCTCTCTCGCCACAGGCTAACAAG